ACTGGTAGGATGCCAAGCTCAAGAATGGAAATTCTACTTCAAGACTATTTTTCAGGGGTACAATAATATCTGGAGAATTTAAGTACTAAACTTACCAAAATGCAAATGTTTGGTATAAAAGAAAAGGTGATTATATAAGATCATAGAGTTTAACATAAAACATTTAGGGTAAATTAACAAAAAAGCAAAAATTTAACCAAATTTCCCAAGAAGATTACAGAATTTTTTCCCTAGATGTTCTTAAAAATAAAATAGAATTGACAGTATAATTCACTTATTATTATTATGCATAATAAAAACCCATGGCCATCATGAATCTTTTGCCTTTTACTCTCTGGCTCCAACATTAACATCTAGCTGTCAATGAGTGTATTTTCAGAGAATAAAAACTAACATTACCATTATCTTAAGTGAAGTGTAATTCATAAAGTTTCTGTTGAAAAGATTCACAATACCTTCCCAAATACAAAGAAAACAACTTACGGTAAAATTTTAAATGTTTGAGATTTGAAGTCAGAAAAATTAGGATTTTAATTCTGCCTGTCACACTTATTACTAACTGTGTAACCTGGAGGAAGTTCCTGATTTGGGAACTTGATTTCTTTGTCTGTAAATCGGCACCTAATCATGAGTTTCTTTTGAGCCTGAAGGTTTGAAGTTCAAGTTTTATTGACATAATTTCTTGCACCACTACTATATATGATGACACTCCTTTAATATGGTTTCTTCACACAATTTCCTTTCCTGAAGTTCACAGGTAGAAGTACATAACAAGCAATGGCATAACCCAGTGATTTCCCAGTTTTGCTTTGAAGATTGTGGTACCCAAACTCTAAGATAGTCTCCAATGATCCCTGCCTTCTAGTATTCATTCCCTCTGTAGTTTCTGTCCCGTAAGTGTGAGATAGGCCTAGTGATTCATTTCTAATGAATAGAATAAAGTGTAAATGATGGTGTGTGACTTGGAAACTAGGTCATAAAAGGCAGTATGGTTAATATCTCTCTCTCTTGCTTCACATGCTGTGTGTGAGCAGCCCTGTGGAGATATCCACATGTTGAGGAACTAAAGCTTCTGGGCAATAGCCATGTGAGTGAGCTTGGAAGTGAATTCTTCAGCTCAGTCAAGTATTCAGAGACTCAGCCCTGGCTAACAGCTTGACTTCATTAACCTCTGAGGCAGAACCACACAACTAATCTGTTTCCAGATTCTTGACTTTCAGAACTGTGTAACATAATAAATATTTCTTGTTTTAAGATGCTCAATGTTGAGGTAATATGTTATAGAACAACAGATAACTAATACACAGACCAAATCCCAAATCACAACATTGGTAGGGTCTATAGACAAAAATGCCACTTTCAAGGAAGACAGAAAAGAAGTTTCTATTATATTACTACATTTACTTGAAAATCAAAGAAAAGAATTTGATTGTTTTAACAAATGGACTACTATATCAGAACATGGCAGGGATTTTTATCTCAGACTTTTATACCCATTCCTTCTAGGAACTTGGGACAAGTGTCCCAGACTGTATTGGAAGAAATCCAAGTCCCACCCAACATTACAGTACCTTGTGTCTTACATCCATTTGGGATTTTGGACTCGGTATTTACTATTTGACCCCGAATAAAGCCAAATACCCTTGACACATGATAATTCATAATTTTCCCAAAGCCTACAGTTGAATCACACTTTCTGTGAGTTATGCACCTGCTTCCCTATAGCTCAACACAGCCTTCTTGTTCCCACTATATAAGCAGTCACCATAAAGAAATATACAAGCTACAGTGTGCTTTCATAAATTTGAGGTGGTCTAGCAACATAATATTTTGGGTCCAGCAGACTGCACTAAATCATGGTCCTTCTCATTGACAAACAGTCTAGGCATCAGGCACCTTAATTTTCTCCTATGTCAAAGTGAATTTGCTGCCTATTGCCACTATTGGAGAATTTAGAGTATGACTTGTCACTCGTTTTGCACAAGAATTGAATTTTTGAGGCTAAGTTTTAAGTCCTCATATCCTCATTTTTTTGAAGGAGCTACTGTGTCTCAACAAAAACTGAAGTCCAGATACTCTGCTTTAGCTTCGTTTAGCTGCTATCTGGCATCTGTTCTTTCTTTGCTTGCTAATAGTGTCACAATTTTTATTCAGGTAACCTCCCCTCCTAGATACAGCTTACGGGTGTTTAGGGGTGCTCTAGGGGTGGGGCAGGTGGTTTAGATTTGAGATAATTAGCCTAATTTTATCACTTGGCCACAAATTTATTCAAAGACCTGCAGCTGCTTCCGTTCTACCATTCTCACTGACACTCCTGGGTTCCCTCCTTCCTCATGCTGTGGTCTTGTGGCCTGATGAATATCTTGAGGACCCAGGGATAAGAGCTATGTGATTTCCAGCACACATTTGGTTAAAGCCATTGTTGCTGTTGTTTTGGCTTCTACCACAGCACTAACCTTAAAGACATTCACATTCCCTCTATATTGAATTTGTACAAAAATCCTATTAACAGTTTCTTAATTAAGCTTCTGGAACATAATTGGCATTCTTTGGGATAAACATTTTAATTGTGCTGGCCTGTCCTTGGAGTAAATAAACTACAGATTTTCCTGATTATAAAACAAAGAAGAAAAAGAAAACATTTCATTTGTGGACAAATGCTCTTATGAAATGCTTGGTGGAAGCAATTAGGAATCAGGGAAGAAAGGACACATACATCTTTCATGTCCTGGTTATATATCTCATTCTAAAACTCACTGTCTTAATGATGTCAGAAATGAGAGAGAGAGCGAAATGTAGGAGGAGGAAAAACGTGATCTCTCCCTCTAAGCTAGGAAGGATTATAGAAATTACATAAACATTTTGGAGATAGGAAATGGCTTTTCACTCTAGCTGGAAAAAAATCCCGATAATTTACCTAATTCAGAAAATGATAATTATTAACATGGCTCACTTGGAATAAAATTAATCCAACAAATAATTCTTTGGTACCACTGCAATATTCCTCAAACAAAATAGCCTCTGTGTGTGTGTGTACATATATGTATATATCTATATATATAATATATAACATGTGCACACCCTAGCCACACAAACACATGTCAGTTATTCCATCAAAGTTAGTCACCAGAATATCTCCCTTTCATCATCTATACTCCATTCTTAAATGTCTTTTCTGGATAGATGAACCTTCAAACGAGATGATACTTGAATGTTGATCCTCTGTTTTTTTAGTAAGCTGAACATTATTGATTTATTTAAAAATTATCTTACCTCCCACGTTTTCCTACTAAATGACCATGTGCATAAGTAATGTAAGTGAGCTACAGGAAATATTAGCACTAGCAGTTGTTGCAAACTATCAAAGTCACAGATGGTTAGAGATGAGATCAAGAGAGGTTAGGGAAGGTAATGCAGTAAAATTGCCTATTGCCTCTTTGTAATCATCACCCAAAAGAAAAAGCTCAGCTTTTTCATGAATCTCCGAACCACAAATAAGCTGAAAGTGAAATGACATGCCAGAATTCCTCATTGATGCTTTTCATGCTCTATAATATTAAATTAACTAGACAGTACATGACATTGCAAGACAGAACAAACCTCTTGAACTATAATTCGCAGTGACTTTGAGAGTTCATGACTATGAGTATATGATGGCTACTAGAGAAAATATCTCCCATGAGCCCAAGCTTTACCACAGGCATATCCAAATACTGCGACATCATTAACATCATTTATCTTCACTGAATACATGGCTTTCACCTTCAGAACACCTGTTACTCATGTAAATGTAGAAAATTTGTTCAAGTATTTCAAGAGGCAAATGACCCACAGATTTTCTCTTAACAAGAGCTCATCTTGTGTCCCCAATTTATAATTTTTATTGAATTACTGACATTTACCCCCAAGACATTTCTCAAGTAAAATCAGAGACTCCGTTTCATTTGTCTCTATTTCTAGATACCCCAAATAAAGGCTGGATCCTAATAAATATTCAATGTATGCTAGCTGGAAACATCAATAAATGGATCTTTGATTCTCAATACTAGGTAAAATGTCCTATATATAGCAGATTAAAAAAAAATTTTTAAAGGAAGAAAAGCTTATTAAATTTCATTACATTTGCTGCAGCAAGAGGTTGCCAAAATGCAAGCATAGCTTCATTAAATTATCATGGCCTTAAAAGTCAACATATTTGATTATATTTTGGGGCAGAAACACAGTAACAATCACTTAGCTACTGATGTGTAGTTTTAATGTGGAGCCTCCTATAGTAATTTTAAACTTGTGAGGGACTATAGTCTAAACAGTGTTTCAACCTCAGTATGTATTTAAACCCTGATACCGCCACAAACTGAGAACCTCGGATCTGGGTTGCATACCCTAAGAATACAAGCAATGGGACCATTGCACCATCTTGACTAATAAAGAGCAATGTTTGTCCAGTGATGTTAGGAATATTATCCATCAACTACTCCCAAACCATTTCATTTACTCCAGTGACAGGAAATCATCCTCCACCTACATCTCTTTCCTTTCAGCAGACTCTCCATTTCTTACGATTTGAGTCAAGTGACCAGAAGACCTTTAATAAGTATTGCTTACTTATATAAACAGAAATTAAGGCATATTTGCTTAGAAGAGATTATCACAGAAGGCAGGAGCTTCAGTGCAGGATATGATCTGCTATACTTGTATGGCCTTCCTAAAGTAATTTTTAATTCAAGTATTTATTAAGCACCTACTATGCACCATGCACTGTACTGTGCACAGAGAATATAGACAAGGGTTTTTATTCCATGAGCTCATCATATTCAGGCGGAAGCCAAGAGACAATAATAAAATAACAAAAAAGAAATATTAGAGAATGAGAAGTGCTGTGGTAAAAAAAAAAAAAAATCACTGAGAGCCAAAGATAACTATTTATCATTAGTTTTTCCCCCCATCATCAACCACAGAGAAAAACACTAGCATAAACATCAGTTAAGTGCAATACTTACCACCACAATTACATTTGCTGCAGGAATTGGAAGGTTTTCAACTTCAAGATCTTGACCAGCCACGGCCAACAGATTGAGAGATGGATCATACGCGGGTCTAAGAAATGCTGAATTAACAACTTGGTGGTTTTTGCTTATTTGAGCTTCAGAAGAGGAATGTTTATATATCTTTTGTGGAGCTATATCCAGACTCTTCTCAATATCTTGTGAATGGTGATAAAGGAATGCTGGCTTCCCACTCTTTTTATGATGAATTGCCAAAAAGTGGTCATTATTTCCTGAAAAGCACCCTGAAAAGAGGAAGAGACAAAAACAAAAATCAAAGACCTTATTTAGTAAGATGAGTAGAAATATCTGATATGGAGAGTTTTTTGTTCTAAGCTGTTTTAAGACTTGTGAAGGATTTAGATAAGTCTCCTTTTTTTCCCGTTTCATTATCCCCTCAAAACAGAACACACTTGGTAGTATGAGGCATCTCAGAAACTATGGGTGGACAGAAGTGGGTGTAGTTCGAAAAAGTCCTATTTATCAGATATTTTAGTACCTCTTTTAGCTAAGAATTTCCTCCTTTATCTAAACCTAAGTTCCAACACCCTGTTGTGCTTCTATTCCTGGATGTCCTACCTGTTCCTCAAATGACAATGACTTCTATCATATTCAAGCTTTTCTCCTTTTAATCAATGGCATTTCATAGAATTCTTATTTTGTACTTATTTTATCCTGGTTATATTATTAAATGTATATAAATGCTCCTAGAGTATTTTATGCTCACTGAGGGCAGAAACCTGAGTACACTAATTGTGGTAGCAACTTCCAGTTATGCAAAAATAGCCATTCTCTCCTTCTTACTTAGTAATATGGCCATCCAGATAAAGTAATACATTCACCCTTATTTCTCCTGTTAGGTAAATATACATTGAATTGAATAACTCTTTCTCCTACTTGTCGTTGGCCACAGGGGGAAATAGAAAACATATATGTTAGTAAAAAGATTATCAGTCAAAAAAAAAAAAAGATTATCAGTAATTCAAAAACCCATTAGAGAAGCAAGCATAAGATATTTTACATAAAATAACAACCAAAGTGAACAGATCACAACATATTAATGCCCCTAACACAGTACTTAGCAACCATAGATACCCCAGATTTTCCCTCAATATGCCTATGGCAACGAAAAGCTGTACACATACTGTTCATAGAAAAATACTCTCCTGGTACAATCTGGGACAGACTGAGTTGTGTGGCTATAGTACAGGGATCATTTTTCCCTCTAACACCTACCTGGAGCAGAGCCCTCCCTTCACAAGGCCAAATCTTGGTCTGTTTGGGCCTGATTAACTCTGCTGGCCTCACTGTGATGATTTCCTGAGACCCTGCCCCAACACAGAAGTGTCCGAGCACCCAGTGGGTAGCAGGCTAGACTTGGTATATCTGGGAATATTTGCTGAGTGACCTCAGACCCAGCACTGGCACCAAGTGTGAATGTGAATTAATCTAGTGAGCACCATTTGTCTCTATCTGGTGATTCACTGTGAACCTACTTCATGCAACTCAAGGCTAGAGGCTATTTCAGTGACTTAGCCTAATGGGCATTTGGCAAGTGGAAGCAAATGGAGGTGGATTTCAGGGTGCTTTGCTCCTTTTGCTGACCTCCCCCTGGGCCTGGTGTTAGTAAAAGTCAGCCTTGGTGCACAGCTTGGTTGTTCCTGCACACACCCAGGCCCAGTAGAGGCAGCCACAAACTATGGATCACTTTGTAGCTCTGAACAGGTTTCCAGGGACTGTCACAAGCATCATCTGACATTGACCTGCACCAGACTCCCCCCCAAGAGGCCCAGAAACATCACACCTAGTGACCAGCTTCAGACAACATCAGAGCAAAAGACAATAAACTTCACAAGTGGCACATCCAAAGGGAGATCTCGGCAGGCACTAAACCCTGCTGAGGCAAGTTCCACTTCATGTGGTCAACACCTGCATAGCAGCTCACAAGCCATGGTCAGGGCTGAGCCTCACAGCCAGCCAGTCTGAGGGTAGATTCCATGCACAAAAGGGCCAATAGCAATCAAGACTCAATTACAACAGGAGGGTCCACATAACCCACACAAGGGACATTTCTGGAGTACCCAGATTAGGTGATCAAGGAGACTGTGCCACTGAACCCTAAGGACACCTACTGCATAAGGTCACTTACCAAGACTGGGATTCGTAGCAGATCTATCTAATACATAGAAACAAACACAAAGATGCAGCCCAAATGGGGAGACAAAGAAACATGCCCCAAATAAATGAATAGGAGTAATCTCTAGAAAAAGAGCTAAATAAAATGGAGGCAAGAAATTTATCAGATATAGAGTTCAAAGTAATGGTTATAAGGATGCTCAATAGCATGAAAAATGACATAGAAACCATAAAAGAAGACCAGTTGGAAATGAATACAACATCTGAAATGAAGAATACACTGGAAAGAATAAACAGTAGATTGGATGAAGCAGAGGATTGAATCAGCGTTTTGGAAGACAAAGTAAAAAAACCACAGCAGTCAATCAGAGAAGCAAAAAGCAAAAAGAATTTAAAATAATAATTTAAGGGACCTTTGGGACAACATGAAGCATAACAACATCTTCATCATAGAGGTACCAGAGGGAGAAGAAAGAGGGTAAAGGATCAACAATCTATTTGAAGAAATAATGACCCAAAACTTCCCTAACCAGGTAAAGGAAAAAGACACACAAGTCCAGGAAGCACAGAGATTCACAAACAAGGTGAACCTAAAGAGGCCCACACCAAGACATATCATAATTACAATGCAAAAGATTAAAGGTAAAGAGAGAATCTTAAAAGCAGCAAAAGGAAGACAGTAACCTGCGAGGGAGCTCAAATAAGACTGTCGCTTGATTTCTCAACAGAAATATTTCAAGCCAGAAGGGACTGCCATTAAATATTCAAAGTGATGAAAAGTAAGAACATATAAGCAAGACTACTTTACCCAGCAAGGCGAGCATTTAAAATTGAAGGAGAAATAAAGAGTTCCCAGACAAGAAAAAGCTAAAGGAGTTTGTTACCACTAAGCCAGTATTACAAGAAATGTTAAAGGGTCTGCTTTAAGAAGTGGGAGGAAGGAGGAGGAGGAGGCTGGTGAGGAGGAACAGAGGAACATACTTAAAAGAATAAAATCACAATAAATACGTACCTATCAATAATCACTTTAAATGTAAATGCTGTATTTGCTCCAATCAAAAGACACAGGATAGCTAAATGGGTAAGAAAACAAGACCCATATATATATATATATGCTATCTACAAGAGGCCATTTCATTTACAAAATGAAAGATACACACAGACTAAAAGTAAATGGATTGAAAAAGATATTTCATGCAAATGGAAATGAATAAAAAGCTGGGGCAGCAATACTTATATTTGACAAAATAGACTTCAAAACAAGGGCCATAAGAAGAGACAAAGCAGGACACTACATAATGATAAAGGGAGCAATCCAACAAGAGGCTATAACCTTTGTAAACATTTACGCATCCAACATAGGAGCACCTATATATGTAAAGCAAATATTAATGGACACAAAGGGAGAGACAGAAAGTAATACAGTCATGATAGGGGATTTTAACACCCCATTAACATCAATGGATAGATCTTCCCGACAGAAAATCAACAAGAAAACAGTGGCAGTAAATAATATACTGGATCAAATAGACTTAATTGATATTTTCACAGCATTTCACTCCAAAGCAGCAGAATATTCATTCTTTTTAAGTGTACATTGAACATTTTATAGGATAGACCACATGTTAGGACATAAAACAAACCTCAATAAATTTAAGAAGATTGAAATCATATCAAGCATCTTCTCTGACCGTAAAGGTATGAAACTAGAAATCAATCATAAGAAAAAAAAGAAAAACACACAAAGACATGGAGGCTAAATATCCTTTTAATCTCCAATCCAAGGCTCATTTTCCTGCCTGTCCTCTGGATCCCACCTCCTCTGATCTTCTGGGGGAACTCAATCAAATGATTATTCCACTTGCTCTCTCCTTTATTTTCAACCACTCCTTCTCAGCTGACTCCTTCCTTTTATTTAGTAAATGTACTCTAATCTCTCCTATCTTGAAACAAAGAACCAAATCTCTCAACCTTCCCTTCCCTTCCTGATAACACTGTCACTCTCTCATCACACCCAACTTGCTGCAAGAGTTGTTCATGTTTTCTCCTTTACTTCCCACTCACTCCTCAATCCAATTAATTCTAGCTCCCCCCACACACACACTGAAACTATTTTCTGTAAGTTTATCACTCCCTCACCCCCAATGGATTTACAGCTTAGAATCCGCAGACCAGCCAAATCCAGCATGGCAATCAATTTTACCTTACGGTGATCCCTAGCCTCATTATATGCTCATTGTAATATATATAAAACAGAAAGCCCATAAAAGGTCACAAAAGGGCCCACAGAGCCCTTCTGAGAAGTCTCTGCCCTTCTCCTGTAGAAAAGTCCTGAATATTCCTCACCTTTATTGAATGCCCTACCCCTAGATTAAATGAGCCTCAATAAAAGAAGTAAATACTACTAGGGAGGGGCTGCTCTCTCTGTGTCCACTTTGTCTCACTTCACTGATAAACTCACTTTCACTTTAAACTTTATACTGGCTCTCATTTGAATTCTTTCCTGCCCAAACTAAGAACACACAGTTGGTTGTGGACCTTGGGGTCCTGGGACCCCTGGAGCTCCTGCATCAATATGGAGGAAGGGAGGAGATCAGGGATGTTAATGGTTTTGGTGATAGAAGTTGAACAAGTTATCTTCTGGTGTCTTCTATTTTTTCTGTGTAGGAGGGGATGAAGTCATATCATAAGAGAGAGAAGACAAGGAAGAAAGATGCGGGGTGGGGGGTTCAGGAGAACGGAGGAAAATTGAAACTGTTCTTGTAAAAATCAAGGAACAAAGTTGATATGAGATGAGATGTAGCATTCCTCATCTTCATTAAGAGCTCAATGACAATTTTCTCCACCTGTTGGGGACAAAGTGTCTCTCAAAATGTTTAGTAAGTAGTTTATCAAATATACTCATCTTCATTTGAAATAAAATTGTTTTTATCATAGAAGCAACATTTACATGAGAATAACCAGTTCTGGTGGTCACAAAATTCCACAGTTGAAATTTCAATCTGGATATGACCTTGATAATCTCTGAAGAGATCTTTAACAAAGGAAAAGAAGTGTATGAAATTGCAATGTTAAGTTGAAGTACATTGTGATTCATTATTTCAAATTC